AGAACAGCAACTACCCATAACACTTTATCGTGGGAACTGTCTTTAAAGGTAGTTGGCACGATCGATTCCCAAGACGTTTAGGACTATTATGCCTAAGAGCACCGAATCCGGCGCTTCTGAAGAGGCGCTGCGTGGCATCTTTTCCGAGGAAGGTATCCTCCTCCCCCTAAGCGCCCCATCAACATACCGACCTGGACGCTCCGCCCGTCCACGAATGTTTGAACTGATGCTAGTATCGCTCCATTTGCGAAATACAACATGAGGCGAATCGATTAGTATGAAGGCTGCGACGCAGCATGCACATATAACTACACACACGCACCCGTATATACCGTAGCGGTTACCGGCACGATGCCAACTGGGAACTCGTCCTGATTGCTTTTTGAGTCTTGTATATAAAAGCTCTTTTATAGGTTTCTGACCGTTTCACATCCCTTTTTCGCCACTTACCCACTATTTGGCACCTGTGATCCCATTCAGACAGAGTACCAAATCATCGTGCTAACTGCCTCCGAGTTGATGCTGTCTGTGCGAAATTTCAAGATTTTTCCCCTTGATTCACTTTAATCCGCCAAACCTTGAATTGTTTTACTACTTCACCTTAGAGCAGGTCCAGAAACGGTCCCAAAGGCGCCAACGATCGCCAGACGTGCAGAAGCCTTTCATTTTGCAGAGTAGCGCGGTCCGCAGTCGCCCAACACATCCCACTCTTCCGGCTCCAGCGTGTTCGATAAGAGAGCTACGCCCTAGCGACCATAAGCGAGCTCCCCCCACTCGAACGAGATCCACCTTTACTGTTCCGTTTCACCATTACTTTACAGTGGGTGCGGACTCAATGGTTAGTATATCCTCGCGCGATATTGTGGTCTGCTTCTCTTTTCGTCCCTCGGTCTCTCTGCTTCCCACGTTCGTTGAACGCTCAACAGGGTCATGAAAAAGAGCCCATATACCTTTGTAATGCCATGTCCTTCATCGGGATAAAGCACATAGGTCACAGGAATGTTGTTCTTTCGTAGTACGTTCACGAACTGATCTGAATATCTAGATCTCAAATATAAGCGAATTAATTTTGAGATCCAAGCTGCACCCATACGACAGCGAAACAACTCTGAGAAGGAAGCACCAGATTCTCGTTGCTTCACGCGAGGATCGTTGGCTCCTTGGATAATCAGCAGGGGCTTCTTCACACGATCAGCCAAAAACAGCGGCGAACGAGCGATGAGCGATTGACGGCCGACCTCACTGAAAACATTAAAAACTTACACACTCAAAATACTCAGAAAAGTATGATGCCCACATTACCAAGAAAAACTCACTCATCGAGATCGCCTCCCAATCTTCGAACAAACGCTTTGCGTTCCCAGTATGGCGGGATCGTCTCTAGAAAGGTGACCAAATTCGACGGACCATCAATGTCCACACCACAGACGAACTCTTCCGGAGTGAATGTGAGCGCAACTAGTGTTTCATAGCCACCATAGCTTCCACCTTCAACACTTGTTACCACTTTTAGCTTTTTTCTTCTGGTTCTCTTCTAATTACTGACAAGGCTATCGACGGCGATGAGCCAATGGAATTCGTAGGTAGCGGAACAAGAAACAGAGATGTATGTGCTAGTTGGCTTGCCCGTGTAGGAAAAAAAAATGAAAGGAAATGGTCAAGACTCTTTTGGCAATGTTCCACTCGTGCCAGGCAAGAGAAAAATAATCGATGTCGAAATCGACCACAGAAAGCTGCGAGAAAGTGTGCTAAAGAGCAAGACAGCAGAGCTCAGACAGTTATAGCTCATCGCGGGCTCCGCCTCTACCTTATATATCGCCCATATCATAAGGCGACGGGGCATCCCAATGGCGGTCGATTACACGCACAGTGCAGTTCTCAGCGGACGGTGGGGCGGTCCTAAGGCCACGCTGGCGAACGGCCCGATAGTTGCCTGTTGGTGGAAAACCTTGCCTCTGCGTCTCTGATACTGACTCTGCGCTCTAAAACACGCCGCCGCACAATCTACTCACTCTTCCGTTCTGGACTCTCGCCGATCGATAATTGCTCTCGATCAGCTGATTCCTGCCGCATTTTCGCAGTATTTTTGCTACATTCAGCTTGTTAAAGCTGAATTTTTCGAATTTCGACTTCATTGTTCGAAGCATTCTTACCGAAACTATATCACATTTTGCATGAGTTTAGCATGAAATGAAATTGTGAAAGAAAAAAAAACTGAAATTGGGAATTTTAGCATGGGAAGGCGAACCGCTTAAGGCAACTTCGAGCTTCAAAAAAGTGTCAGAGATGGTTCTCGATAATAACGAGATCACATCTGAGACACTGCTTGAAAACTCGGTCAATATCGTAAAAGAAATGAGGAAATTCAGGAAAAAAAATTGGAAAAATTGCAAAGACTAGAATGGAAAAACAAGTTTTCTAGGGTAAGCCCATGCTAAATTAATGCAAAATGTATATAATTTGAGTAAGAATACTCACCTTCGAATGTTGAAGTCAAAAGTCGAAAAATTTCAGCTTTAACAAGCTGAATCTAGCAAAAATACTGCGAAAATGCGGCAGGAATCAGCTGATCGAGAGCGTCAGCAATTATCGATCGGCGAGAGTCCAGAGCGGAAGAGTGAGTAGACGGTGCGGCGGCGTGTGTTGAGCGCAGAGTCAGCATCAGAGACGGAGAGGCAGTGGATAATCTTGAAAATTCCGCGTTTCCAACGACACGAAAGCATCGGAACGCTCGCCAGCGTGGTCGTAGGGAACGCCCCACCGTCCGGTGAGCGCTACTCTGTACGTGTCGCCGCTATTTCGTTCGGGGTATCGCAGCCATCACAGCGCTCACAACTAATTGCATACGTACTCCTTTTCCCTCCTACATAGAGGAGTACAGGCCTGATGAACCAACAGGAGCCAAAGATGGAATGAGTCTCAGAAACATAAACTTGACGGAGAATTCACGTACCGTTGCAGGGAATGCTTCGATAGAAGTCAGGATTAAGGATCAAGGGTGTGTGGGGAAAAAGCCTCTATGCGGCGCCGCGCACATCCGCGTATCTAGCATTTGTTGCATTTTGTTCCGGAGCAGCCCGTTACAATACGCTCTGTCACACATATCCATGTTATCCCTGAAGGATGGTGGACTTTAACTGGAGCGTTGTACGGTAAGATACTGTAGAAATACTACAGAGATCATCTGGTATCTCCTGAGCCCTGCGGCATGACCTCACTTAATTGCTTAACTGCTGACTTCCCACTGATTGCTCAGCGAAACGAGATAAATTCAATGGAATTCATCTAGTAGTAATTTCTCAATTCCATAAATATCAGAGTTACGGCACCCACACATATTACGATGCAAAGTTCATCATACTTGAACCGAATCCATAACGAATTAAGCACAGTACTAAACAGCAGACCGGCTAAGTTGGCTTCTAGTTCAACTTCTTTCACCACTGTTGCAATACGTGGGAGCACACATTGTCAACGTTGATGAATTCATCTCGTCTCTTCACCAGTGTCCCATCCAGACGACAGCCTTCTACGCAAGCTTCGATGTAGTTGCCTTATATACGAAAGTGAATAATGCGGATGCAGTGCAAAATGACTTATCCCTTCTTGAAGAATTGAGAAATTCTCTACAATGGGATTCTCAGTACACGAAATAAAGGAACATATTGAAGTTGCGCTGGAATGTAATATTTTCTGCTTCGACAACAAGATTTACAAGCAGAAACGAGGCTTAGCCATGGGTAATCGTATAGCGCCGCGTGTTAGCAGTGATCTTCTTGGACCACATTGAGAAGGCATCGTAGTCAAGAGGAATCATATTTTACAAACGTTTGAACGTCATTGATAAGGTGTCTGTTATCGGAAGAATGGAAGAGGATCTTGTGGAAACCTTGGAGAGACTGAACTTCACACGACAGGAACATAACCTTCACCAGAGAAGATCCAGGGAGTGGACGGCTTTTTGCCGTTTCTCAATACGAAAGTTCGGATAAGTGAAGGTCGAAAGGAACACCTGTGGTATAAGAAAAGTGCCTCGTCGAATATACAGGGGGGCCAAAAAAAGTCACTTTTCTTCATTGACTTTCGTGGCGCTATAAGTTACACTTTATAAATTCTAATCGGACATTTCTACCACCATATTAAAGAGCATATTAAATACTATTATAAACTCCGCCACAGCCTTCTGGACGAGCGCCATCGAGAGATTCTGGCACGCGACCGCGATGTGGTGCCTGAGATCAGCGAGATAGTCGATTTCTCCGCCACCGTAGACCACCCTATTGAACTCCGCCCGAACCGGGTAATTGAGGGGATTCAGGTCAGGTGACCTACTTGGATATTCCATCTTCTTTAGGTACTCAGCCCCCTTCCATTCCAAGTAGGCGAGAGTTTCTCCAACGCCCTTCGATTCCATGTGGTGGCACCCAATGCTGTAGCAGTAAAGTTTCCAAGAAGGTACGGGCGACGACATGTGAGGAGGATATTCTTCACGAGTTGCTCAATGTAACCGCCAGCGCTCACCTTCAGTCCGGGGTCCACGAAGAAAATATTGGTCTTTCCATTCCAGGTACGTCCGGTCCATACCATCAACCCGCTCCTTGACGACTGCGGTGAAGATGATGTCCTAGACCGTAGCGACGTTGTCGGAGCTGCTCGATGTTGGAGGTCTTCCAGATTGAGAGTACTGGTCTCCAGGTAGCTACCCATGGGTGACTCCACACTAGAAGTTTCGCAGCTGTTTGGAGGTGACATGAATTCCAAAGGTCTTCTCCAGTCAGGCTGCGACTGGAGATGACCTCATATTTTGGTGTACATGAAGGTGATGGGCGAGGGCCAGCTCCTGCTTATCGAGGAACATCTTGGGTATCTTCCGCCCTGGTACTCGTATCCACGTCTTCTCTCTGGGCTGCGAAAACTTTGCTGATATGTGACTCGGTCGAAGTGACTTTTTTTGGCCACCTCTGTACTGCTGCATTCCAGAAGTGCGCACTCGATTTATATGAAAGCACAAGTCGTGCCTAACGTGGTCAGAACGAAGGAAAGGCTTGGGACGCAGAGATGTGGATGAGAAGGTCCAAAACATCTATGAAAGCAACGGATATTTTGAGGTGTCTTTCAGGATCCTGTTATCCACATACGTCACCTGATGGACTAACCCTAACAATGCCTTTCAAAGACGATTTGATTGTTCTCAGTGTCATAACGAGGGTCATTTACTGTCGTGGTCACCCCGCCGATAGGTCCGTCCCCCTCAACACGCTGGTCTGGGAGGACTCGATGCACTCGATGTTCGTTGTAGTTGTTACACGTTTGAAATGGTGACTCAAGGCCTGACGAATTCATTACATGCTGAAAGCTTGAAATAAAGTTGTTCAACAACATAAGAACTTCAAGCATACTGTCCGAAAAACATATTGGATGAAGCTCAGAGATAGCAGCATCTTGACACACTACCAAACATTTCGAAAAGTATAGAGTTTCACTGCTTACGTATCTAGCCATTCTTCTGCAAAACTCTTTCACTCGAACCTGGGGAGCCCCGCTTCGATGAGTATCTTTGGTCTTCTTTCCTGATGTCTTTTCCGCAGAACTCTGGCGGGACTCGAGAGTGATGCGGCGAGACTTAAGGAGGGATGAGAAAGAGGAGGAGGAACTGTGGAGGGGTGTGAGAGTTTTTGAGAAAAATGGGTGTTGTGACTGCATGCGTAGTCCCTTAGTGGACATCGCCAATGAGTGAAAGAGTCTTGACAGGGCCCGTTGTGGTAGTAACTGGAAGCATGCTCGAGCAGCGACAAACACTTAGGAGGTGTTGATGTTGTACTCATACAGCTATATGAATATCTTTTCAGATGACCTTTTAGTTGGATGTGAGCTCAGATAGGTCAACAGAGGGAAGCTGTCAGAAAAATAATGTGGGTAAGGTCATCCTATAAGAGTTGCGTTGCCGCTGGAATGTCGTAGGATGTGTGATACACCTGACCACACGAATTTCTGGGAAATCTGACGAGGTTTTTCTCAAAGGAAAGGTTTCTTGCCCTAATATTTATAGGATTGAGAAATTACTAGTTTCACGTGGCAGTTCCTGGATTTGATTAGATTTGTCTCGTTTCGCTGAGCAGTCACTGAAAGGTCAGCAGTTAGCGCAGCAATTAAGTGAGGTCATGCCGCAGGCAGGCCTCACGACATACTAGGTAATCTCTGCAGTATTTCGCCGGTATCTTACAGTACACGCTCCAGTTAAAGGTGCTCACCCTCTTCCGAAGAAAATTCGCTCTTCACAATAAACAGAGGTGAGCTTAGCACCGAAGTCCTGTGCTTCCCTCTGTCTTCCATCACGTGTCGCTGCTGAGAGTGCAGTTCTTGTTAAACATCGCTAATTCTCTCTACGCAGCGCATCTGATCTCGTGGCGCTCACTCCGGTGAGGTCCATTATCGCAAGCCTCACCCCACCCAGTACATGAGGTGCCCAATCGCACCGCTGTTTGTTGGAGACACAAGTAGACCCCTTCTTCATCTAGGCCACATTTACCGAGCTCGTAGCGCCTGGCTCACTATCATCAGCCGCTAGATCGCTTCTGATAGTGAAAGTTTTCAACCATTTCAATGTTTTCTACGTGCCGGTCTAGAATGTGTTCAATATACTTTCTGGAGCTCGACTCTGCCATTTTTTCATAACTTCGGAGCTTGACATTCTATACGGTTATCAGAAAGCCATTTTTAGCGAGCACTTCATGCCGTTTTTGCGCTTGGTAATGCAGTTCTTCCTCTTGTTGTTCGCTGGAAGGGCAATGTCGTAAGCGTAAAATTAGCTTCCAGAGAGTGTTATCAACGGGAATGACATCTAGTGTGAAGATGGTGACCAACGAGCTCGGCGCTGATCCTTGATACACTCCAACCGCAATTTCTATCACTTAGCTCAAGCCTTGATAGAGCACAACTGCCTTCTCCCAGCGTACATGTTCCTATCTATGAAGACCAATATATTCCACAGCTGTCACCTTGTGCGCAGGATTCAGCCCTTCACCAAGCAGTACCACGATATTTTACGATTCGACAACTGTTACGCATGTACAAACCCAAATTTGTGTCCCCCATTGCTGTTGTTTATAGATGACACTCCTGGCCTCTTCTTTGTGCACAAAAGATGCTGCAGGTCGCTGATTGTAAACTGAAGCCGAGTTAAGGACTCTTTGTCACTCGCCGTGAGTCCTCGGCATCCGTCCACCCTTCCCAGAGTCCTTTTGTCACTGTAAACATGGCTATTCAGATCGCCTGTTCAAGATCATGGCCCCGCGAGCCCTTGCTTTCTCGTAGAGCATTTCTCCAAGGCATAGAGTTCGATAACTCCCGTGTCTGATAAGCTCAGCGACCCCACGACATTTTGCGGTAGGCCCTTCCACGCCCAGAGTCCTAGTTCAAAGTAGCCTTTTGGCCAAGGTCTTCACCACTCGATATCGCATGCTAACCACAGAATTCGGGGAGGGTTAAGCGCACTACTTCCGAGCTATAGGGGAATTTAATAGTGACAAGGTTTGTTGTGTCGAGACTCTCCATAAGGCAGCTTTCTCGACGTGGGGCCGATTCTGGTATCGTCAGCTTTTTTGCAAGGTTTACAAACAAGTTGTGCCTCCATGAGTCAAACTCGTGGCTCAGAGTGCAGTAGTCTCAACCATTCGGCAATCCCTGCCTCGGAAATAGTTCTTTAATATACCGGGGAGAAATCAACTGTTGCACACCTACCCATAATCGCAATCTGAGATTTATTTGCAATCCCTTTGGCACAACAAATTTGACCGAATCCAATATGTCGAGGTGCATCTTTCTGGACCATTCACCATTGCCAGCCTTTGCAAAACGTTTGCCGAAGCCATAGCTTCCACGATAATTTACCTGAAACTCCTCATGAAATTTTGGCCGTTTTTCGGTTATTAAACTGTATGTTACTTAGATGCAAAGTGAAAAGTGCAATTTACCTGAAGTACCGCATAACCTCTGTTCGTTAGAAATACATTCTCAAGCGATAATCCATAAGAATCTCTGTCATTTGGACCACCATGAACAGAGGACGATAAGTTTCTGAGGATCGACAGGGAGCAATCCAAGGTTGGCGTAGTTGCGATCTGAGGCCGGAACATCCTGAGCACTTCGGAGCGCAGCCTGAAAACGACTCACGCGGCATCCAGAATTTCAGTAAAAATGTCATAGACTGACGTTTCTCGGTTA